ATTTTCCCTCATTTTTGTTGTTTTCCCTGCAAGCAATTATTAGTCGCTTGTTTAATCAATTGATCCTTGTTAAGTTATTTGTTTTATAAGAATACATCAATATGTTCCCTTGAGGTTTTTCCTGTAGAGCTAATTTGTATTCAACTTTGGGCTTGTGAACTCGCATAATTAACTGACTCACGGTGCATGAAACGTTGAGACTTTCATTTCCTCGAGATAAAACAGAGAAAACAGTTCTGTAATAGTCAGACAAACTTTAAGTAAAGCGTTTTCAGCTCCAATTTATGTATGTTTTGTTTATATATATATCCGAGTTTTAGAGCTAAAAAAGAAGACATAAACTAAATTGAAATAAAGACTTTTCAACTCTACTTTCTGTACGTGTTTTGTTTATATATCCGAGTTTTAGCGCTAAATAAGATATAGGAAGCCGTTTCTCGCGATGCTAGGTGATCGCTTCTCTTATTCCTATTTTGCTTTTAATGGACGGTCCGAAAACCAGGCTCAAGTTACTTCACGGGCAAGTCTAGGCAAGCCTATTGTTTCTATTGAAGTAGAGAGACGCTCATTAGTAAACCTATCCACTTCATTATATATGGAGGAAGGCACTTAATTAGTACGCAGGAAATCCAAATTAGTATGCGGGAAATCCAAGGGAAATCCAAAACGGGGCTTATCTTTCAATATAGTAAACTACTATTTAATCTAATCTTTTTGCAATTATTTGAATAAAGGGTTATTAAGTTGATTTCTTGTGTCATAAGAAACGTGTCTGGTTTTATTGCGAGAATCAATTTATTAGTCGCGTGTTTCAATTGATCCTTGTTAAGTTGTTAATTGTTTATTTTTTTGGTGGCTGAGTTTTTATAACAAAACGTCAAGGTTCTCCCTTGAAGTTTTTACTACAGAGCTGAACTAATATTTGTGTGCAACGGCGGGCTTGTTACCTCTCGCGCATAATCAACTGACTAACGGCGCGTGAAACGCTTATACTTCAGCAGTTTTTAATTTCCTCGAGATAGAAAGGAGAAAACGGTTTTGTATTAGTCAGACAAAATTGAAATAAAGAGTTTCCAGCTCCTCTTTGAGTGTGTGTTTTGTTTATATATATATCCGATTTTTGGCGGTAAATAAGAAGACGCATGACGTTTCCCGCGTTGCTGGGTAATTGCTTCTCTCATTCCTACTTTTTTCTGGGCAGCACTAAAACATGGAATCCGGAAACGGAAACGGGATCACGGAAACGGAAACGGAAACAGAAACAGAAACGGAAACGGAATACGGAATCAAATATCAATGATAGAAAATTAAAGAATTTCACATTACACAATTTAGTACAATCCAAAGAGAATTTGTCTTAGTTTTCTTGGCAGTTCCCTTAAATATATTCTTGTTATTGTGTATTTTATGATAAGGTTTGCCGTTGTGTGGGTTACTGCACTGCAAGGCCGATGAAAGTAAATGAACGAGTAATTTTTATTCACGAGTTCATGGGTTGAATAATACAGTTAAATATTACTTTTGTAGCTAATTGTCAAGAATAGTGATAGTTAGCCTCAGACGACACCACGTGATTGTCCCCAAACTAAATACTCCACACATGACCGACCGGTGACGTGACCACAGTTCAGGTGTTTTAGCAATAAGTTCAACTTTTTCGCCAAGCTGAATACTGATGGAATACTGGTGTACCGGTAATTGAGTTTACGTGGACGTCCGTATTTTTGTTGAAGAGGCTTATTAAACATGGCGCATTATTTTGAGGTAATCGGTTGCGGAATCAAGCAAATGCATGCACAATTCTCTCTTCTCTTTGGACTCCACAATGCCATGGTTCTCTTGAGTAAGTTGTCTTGATAAATAAAACTGAACACTGTTGAAGACAACCCAGAAAAGACACTGAAAAAAACTTGAAGGTGACGCCTGTCAGTTATATAAACGACGCCTCTGACGATTCAAACAAAGTCTGTCTCCATATAACTTACCTTTTTCTTAAGGCACTAGTTTTTGTCAGTAACGTTTTTCTACTCGCTTTGCTTTCCCATGAGAATTTGCATTCATTGCCGATAGTGGTATCAAGCGTCTTTTCACCGGAATCGACTCCTCTAGTGATACAGCAGTCTCCTCTCCTCTACTCAGCTAATTTATTCATTTGTGTCTTTTTTTTTTATCTGTTTATTTATTTTATTGTCATTGCTAATATTCTTTTTTCAAATCGATTGCTTGGAACCTTCTTTCACAGATTCCGTATTCCGTTTCCGTTTCCGTGATTCCGTTTCCGTTCAAGTTTCCGGATTCCGGATTCCATGATTTAGTGCTGCCACTTTTTTCTTAGTACGTTCAAAACGGGCTAAAGTTAATTACCGGACAAGTCTAGGCAAGCCTATTGTGCCTATTGTAGTAGAGAGACGCTCGTTAGTAAACCTATACCGAATTTATAGTATGCAGGAAGGCAGTAAATAGACAATTACTAGACACTGACTAGGAGCATAATTAGCGG